CATTATCATTTAATAGTTGGGATACTAGAATTATGTTATTATTGAACCAAGTTTTATAAAATAAAGATTTATTCTTGAACTTAATAAACCGATTATTCCAGATGAAGCACCTATGTGAGGAGAAGTTATGTTTGTAGATTAACGACCACGCTAAGAGCATTTGTTTGTGGAATTTAGATAAAATTAAGGCAATTTTTTCAATTTTATAATCACTCATAAGTAAATATTCTAGACCTCCAACCTTAGAGAAAATATAGTTTAGGTATAAAATTCCATGTAGATGTGGGATTTTTTAGAAAATGCTTTATCCAGTGTATTTTAAAAGTATTATTAAGGGTTGTAAAATCAAGAAAGTTTAAACCACCGCGTTCAAAAGTGTTTATAATAACAGATTTTTTCACATAATACGTCTTGTTTTTCCAGATAAAATTGAAAAGTAATTTATCAATGGAATTACAGAGCTTTTTGTTGACAAACATTTCATTAGTAGTTCCACTTCCCCTCCTTCACTTCCCCTCAGCCCTTGGTATGACGTAACAGCATACGTCGCACGGAGGCCACTTGGAGCGCGGAGGGAAAGTGGGCGGGGGAGGAGCGGGGGATTTAAATGAAACGCACTTGCCCTTACTCATTGGCAGCCGTCGGCGTTATAGCGGCAATGACGTAAACTGCAATGCATTGTGGGTGATATCCACCTCGGAGTGACCATCGTTGTTCACTCGCTCCCTCAGCCCTCCGAGGGTCCATCTCACCAAGTTCACTTCACTTTTCCAGACAATTGGAACGACACTTATAATGGCGGCGGGGATTCCCCCGAGGGCAAGTTCCGAGGACAAGTGAACGAGGGCATGTTGAACGACTAATGAAACGCAGCATTTGTCTGATCTACACCATAATGCACGGTTGATAAGAGTCCCGCCCTGAGCACGTCTTTTTGATAATATTCATTAATAGTGAGAGCGCTGCCGAGTGGTGAAAGAAAATGTCATATTTTATACTTTCACGTTCTACTCCTAGCAGGATGATCAGAGCCGCCTGAAATTTAGTCATAAAATGCAAAACATATTGTTGATGATATTTCATGATTGTGGTGAGTTTTTGTTAAAAGGGCGTGTCATGGGGTCAAATTTTGATGTACCGCCAGAACACATGAATTTGCTATAATTTAAGTGTACATTGTCCTATTGGCTCAAAACTTCACTTGTCTGAGTCCCTCCTTGAACACATCTACATGACAATATTCAGATATAGTGATAGCGGCACCTACTGGTAACAGGAAGTAAGCGCTGCGTGGCGGTTTTGATCTGATTTAGCCACTATTTCATGTTCTACTCCTGGCAGGATGATCAGATCCAGATGAAATTTACTTAATAATATAATAATAATAACTGAAATGCAAAACTCATTGTTGATGATATGTGATGAATGTGGTGAGTGGGCGTGCCTGTGGCGTGAAATTTTGATGTACCGCCACAAAACACGAGTTTGCTATAACTTGAGTGTACGTTGTCCATTCGGCTCCAAACTTCACTCTGATAAGGGTCCCGCCCTGAACACATCTATGTGATAATGTTCAGTAATAGTGAGAGCACTACCTAGTGGTGGAATTTATTACACTTTAATGTATTTGTCCCAGCAAACTAACCATATCTAGCTGAAATTTGGTCAGAATACCCTTAGAATATTGACAATGACATCTTACGAATCTTGTGAATATTTATTGAACCGTGTTGCCGTATCGACACAGCGAGCATCACCTTGTTGTTTTAACATTTGATTGCATTTTGCGGGGGCTGTACAGACTCAACCCCTCGTGAAACTTGGCACACACGTCCCACATGGCAGCATTTTACATTTCATATGGATGTTGCCTGTGGGTGTGTCAAAATGGCTCGATAGCGCTCCCTACAAACTTTCAAAAAACCAGCCCTGGTGTCCTGTTTAGGGGACTGGAATGAAAATTGGCAGGCATATATAGCAAGTTAGGACATACAAAAAAGCCTCTTGGACCCATACCCCAAACACAACAGGAAGTCGGGCGTTTTGAATTCCGTGGTCATTTTCCGTGAATTTGAACTAATTCCAACTAGTGAATTGATCACAACAACATCAAAATTGGTGAATACAATGCAGAGAAGTTCAGGATGTTACATTATTAAATCTGTACATGCGGTCAAACGGTGTGTCCGGGGCGTGCCTTGAAAAATCAGCCTTGACATGACAATGGAAACCCAACCCTACTGCTAAACCTCACTGCAGTACAGATTCTCTATTTGGACCCAAACTTCACAAGTTTGTTAAGAGCCCTGGCCTAAACGCATCTGAATGCAAATATTCATGTCGCAGTCTGCACATTACATTTGCACGTGACGCGTCAAAAGTTCATTGAATATTTACTGTGCTTCAGTGCATGCCGTGGAATGGCATCAAATTTGGCCAGGTTGAATCGAATGTCAAACTGCGATGCCATTTCCCGCATTTCAGGGCTTCTATTTTAACTAACTCCTCCTACAGATTTTATCGGGTTGACTTTAAATTCGATCACTGCAATCTAGACACATTGGTGATCAAAAGCTTATTAAATATTCACTGTGCGTCAAACGGTGAATCCATGGCATGGCGCTGAATTCCCATGTTTCACAGTGAATAGTCTTGCTATGAACGCGTAAGTCTTTTGCACGGTGTCTGAAATGCGTGACGGCGTAGAGCGGTCTTCCTTGCCTTCCGGCGACAAGGGCTTGGGCGTGGGGTGACATGGCGTGGCGCGGCTGCGGTGGGCACCGTGCGGCCCCCGACGTGGGTCGATGGCGAGGTCCCGCCCAACGCTGCTTGCAGCTTTAATTCAGTTATTACTTTTCCTTCCCCTTACCAAAAAGAAAAGCCACAGTATCTTTCTTATTTGTTGCACTTTGGTCATTTTGTCTGCTCCTTCAATCCCTTGCCCACATGAGCAGGTACCCAACATAATCTTCGTTTCCTATTCTAAGCAGTCTAAACAGGCTCTGGTTTATTTCTAGCACTAAGTCTGCTCATACTGATTTTATAGATTTTATACTGAATCTACACAAAATACCAGTGTCTGGCATAACTTCTTCCGACTGTTACAGACCTATTATTATTGGTAACATTTCAGTTGTATGAACTGATAGATGGTTTAATACCTGTTCTCTGTGTAAATGTCTACATAACTAAGGTATGTATATCTTATATATTGTTTTCCAGAAATCCTACTTTGTTTTTCTCTCATTTCTTCTTTAATTCAAATATTCTGAGATCTCCTTCAGTGTTCGGGAATAGCCACAGGGTAACACCTTTACAGGGGTTGGGGTATTAAAAAATCAGTTCTGGTCCAGTATGCAACTTCTCCAGTGTGCACATACACCAAGAATGGACTGTACAGTGAAGTAGGGGACATCTTGTGTCCAGCAAGAAAATATTACAAATAAACATTTGCATATTCATAGATTCTGGAATTTTTAATCAGGCTGATTTTTTGCAGGAAAAAAAAACATACATTACATAACATTTATTTAACCAATTAAATTGTGCAGAAAATTCATTCAAAAATATGGTAGGAAGTATATAAAATGCTCTAATGGAATTTAATTCGTTCACCTTTTTTTTCATGATCTTACAAGAGCCATACAAATTTAAATATATGACAACAAGAATAACAAGTAGGCTACTCAACAAGGTTTCTGTTTCAACCTTACCATAATCTCTTAAAAGCAGCTTTAATTGCAAGAACAGTTTTCAGCAAAGTGAGTGCTGAAGTTATTCATTTAATTTTCAAATGACAAATTCCCATTTTAATGTCAAATGCCAACTGGCTACATTGGCCTTTAGTTAGACTCTTTTAGTTGACTACTTCTTTTTGCTCACAGTACCTCAAACTGCATTTGGTTTGGCAATTATTTTTTTTCACAAAACGTTATTTTTCTTTTTGTTGTAACAACATTCATTATGAAAATCTTATTGTGATAATTACACAAACAGATTGCACATTTTACAACAGCACGTTCTCTTCTAAAATCCCAATTGCAAAACCCTTTTTAAATACAAATGTAAATTACTCTAATTTCTCTATACAACCTTTATAAACAACAAAGGACAACAGAGGACCACTGTGTTCAATCACATCTGCCCATTCCTTTAAGAGGCAATTTTCAAGAGATAGACTTGTCAAGAAGATTATTGTGATACTATTCTGTTTTTGATGTACAACAGGATAATTCAATTATTATCAGTTGAGATTTCTTATGACTATTTTAACTACCTATTCTACCTGACTGGCAGTGAAAACATGAATATTTTGCTGAGGTGCCCTTGAGCAAGGCACCTAACCCAAAGCCTACTCATGGGGCGCTGTTAACGTTGCAGCCCCATCACTCCACCATCTCTCTCTCCCTGTTTGCATGTCCACAAGTGCATGATAGTGTGTATTTCAGCCTGTGTGTGTGTGTGTATAAAAAAAATCCCCTCGGGATTAATAAATTATATCTTCTTCAGGTTACTATGACATACAAACTCATCAAGTCATAACAAGAAACCTTTCTACTATGTCTGGGCAAGTTATAGCGTTATGATTGCGTTAACACATTAATTAATAAACTAAAAAAGCAGACAATTATTTTATCTCACATTAACTGTTTTTCTTTTTACTATTATTCTTATTTTGAAAGTCCGTTGCTCACTGGCTCTTAATACACATCCAGACAAACCAGAAGTGTGGGAGAAGAACCATGGTTCAGTTTGATCCGGACCGAGACCACCTCTTTAGTTCGGACCAAATTTTGGTCTTTTGATCCGGACCGTGGTCCGTGGCACCTTTCTCACCTACAATTTTGGTTCGGACCAAACTGAAAAGTTCGAAGGTCTGGACCAAATGAGGTATGTGTGAAAACGCCCTTAGAGAAGAATTATTTTAACTGCTATCGTGTAAAGGGAATACTGCTGTTGAATAACAACTTAAAGTGTAAAGTTGTGTATAAGTGCAAACCAAATTTTATTGCACTTTTGCTCATATAGCATTTTAAAGTGCGCAATACACTACTTTTGAATTCAGTATGGAATTTGCGTAACTGAAACTAAAGATTTTAATCGTTGCCCACCACTCCTTTTTACACTATCTTGTTAAAATGTGAAACATTTCACATTATAATGTAACAATATAGGTTATTACGTTATAACAAAATAAACAAGAGATTGTATGTTGTAATAACATAAAATGTTATGATGCAATACTGATCTGTTTCTCTTTTTCTGGCCTGGCAGCAATACTATAAAATACTGAAACACATAGTAAATATCCTTATCTTCTAAGTCACAATGCTTTGTCTGCTTGTGCAGGACATCACTAAAGTGCATCAGAGTGACACAGACCCAGTATCATGCTGGTGTCCACAGACAGGCTTGTAATGGCTGACAGCACCTGCCTGTTGATAAGTAAGAAACCGATGAACCACTCTACTGTCACAACAAGAAAACACAGGTTCAAACATTTGGTCACAAACCTGGAAATATACAGTATTTGCAAAAGTTGCCATTTTTTAAAAAACAAGCAAACACAAATTAAACACCTAGAATGCAGTAGAGTAAGTATATGTATCACAATCTGTGTTAATAGTGTTTTTAAATAAAATGATGGACCGAGTGATTAAAGGATCATTCTGGTTTATTAATGAATGGGTCAGGACTTTATGTTGTTGTGAACTGCACCAGGTCCACCTCTGTCATTTTCATGTGGGTCCATCCACTGTTTTCTTGTTATCTTGCTAACACTAACCATGAAAATATCTGAGAAGTGGGAACAAGCCAACATCACTCCAGTGAAGTCTGACCGGTCAAGAAACACGAGGAGGCAAACCAATCAGATAAGTTAGATACAAATCTAATGATCTAAACCACCTTTGTCTCCAAACATTTCACCTGGATGATGATGTAGATAATGTAGATGTTCACAGTGTGTCTTTTGTTTAACCTTCAATGTGAGCAGTAATTTCTTTATATTAACTTACATCATTTTTATGGTGTATAAGACAGGAAGGTTAAATTTGTTAAATAATATTATGCTGATTTATGTCAGACTAATCTGTATTTGAGAGATTTATGATACTTAAATGTGTAAATGTTTAACATGATTTAAAGAATGGATTAATGACTTGTTTTGGAAATAATTATTTTTTTCTTAGTTTAGAACCATGGCAGTCATCATCCTAGAAAGGAAACACTGAATTGGTTAATAAATGGTTGACTGATGGCAATCCTTGTTTCTTGGTGGTCTGTGGCTCCAGTTAGAACCTTGTATCCACAACACAACTGCACCTGAAATAATAATGTAAACAATCCCTCAATGTACAGGAAAAACATGGGTCTCAATTTCAATTCAATTATTAACAGAGACCCAACAACTCCCACCATGAGCAAGCACTTGGCGACGGCAGCAAGGAAAAACTGCCTAGGTAACTTTTATAAAAATAACTTTTTTTACCCATATTTAAACTATATCCTGACAGTAGTAAATGAGACAGATAATCTCTGAAAAAATCTGGTTCCTCTGGCAAATGTATGAACCAGATTTTTTTTCACAGATTATCTGTCTCAATACTTCAGCAAATATGAGAGAGTAATTTGTTTTTAAAGTTACCTACTACAGTTTTAATGTTCACGACTGACAGTTTGGGTAATCATTTCAACATTCACCATTATCTATTTTTTTTCACTATTTTGGAGGTTTGCTTCCAACCTGTCTGATCCTCTGACTGCTTGTATTTGATCTATTTTCAAAGACCTTCATGGACCTAGATTTTGGACTGATTCGAAATGGCTACGCTAAACTAAAGTGATATAGACTATCTGAAAGGGACCTTGGGAGCAAATTAAGTCAGTACAGTCAGAGAGAGGACAGCAACTGGCAGCAGCATTATCCTCCACTTGACTTCGGTGACAGGTGGAACTACTAACGATGGCTTATCATTAATTTAGCCACAGTAGCTAATCTAGATGACTAATTTCTGTTTATTTTGGGTCAGACTGACTTTAAAATTACGTATGTCAAATTGTTTTTTTTGGAAAAGGTTATGTTGCTTTGCCCACAACTTACACATCATAAGAATTAGTCCAGGTTTGAAACAACAGAATTTGAGCATTTTGAGTACCATCATATTAATATTATTAATATCAAAAGTATAAAAAAATAAGATAATGGCTTAATAATTTGTGATTTTTTTACCACCGTATGGAGCTGGTTGGTTTAAGTAGAAAGGAGTAGCACGGCTAAAGCATCATCAGTGAACATGTGGTGTGAGTGGCAGCTCTGTCATTATACCGGCTATAGAGACACCATGACAACTGCATATTTTCTTCTGCATGGGGATATAACACTGCAGTCTATTGATACTGCAAAAATTCCATTGCTCACTTAACTGCTTAATACTGTCAGATAGCTAAAATTGAGTGTCGAACAAGAAGTAATATCTGCTTTTGTTACATTACACCTTGGTCTGCAATTACTTTGGATTTGTCCAAATTGGAGTGAAATTCAGCTTAAGGAGAGGTCCGATTAGCAGAACAGCAGAGCTGATTTCTCTCTGCATTTTAAGAATGAGATCAGTTTTCCTCTATTGTATGCAAATGAAACACTGTTGGAATTTGTTTCTTTTTGTCCACCTTGTCTTTGAGTCTTTTGGGTAAGGCTGATATTCCAAAGCCCACAATATCTGTACAGAACCTACTGCAGAATTTCAGAATCATTTGAGTGAATCCCATCCCCCTGTGAGACCCACCGGGGGATCACATGTGCTCTGGGTGGCTCTGCAGGCAGGAGATCATCTCTTGAACCGGCTTCCCCTCAAAACAAATCTGATAGACTGCTGTGAACAGAGGGAACCTAGAAAGGATGGATACATTCAGACAGGACAGTGAAGAGAGAATGTTTACAGTTAGACAAGATAGTGGAAGAGAATGAGAAGAGCAGACATTAGAAGCATGATTAAACGTGCTGTGTTAAGACCTCACCCACTTTAAAAGGTTTTATGCATCGAGATGATAATCAGTATCATTTTTTTGCAACTAGTCATACTATTTATTCTATTACTAAGGGCTGCATCTAAAGATTATTCTCATTATCTATTCTTTTGATTAAAGCAGCAGTAGGTAACATTTATAAAAATAACTAATATTTTCTGAAACTTTCACTATATCCTGAGACAGATAATCTATGAAAAAATCTTGTTCCTCTTAGTACTCCTAATGTAATTTGTATAAATCCAGAGTACTCGATAGAAAACAACTAATCAGAGCCAAGAAAGAGTTGATTGTCGAGTCTCTTTCCCAGGTGATCAAATACAGACAGTGGGAATGACATTATTATCTTCAAGTCATCAACAGTCTCTTTCTATCTTTCTCGGCTCTCATTAGTTGTTTTCTTTTATGTATGGTGGATTCTTGCATGAACACCATTAGGAGAACTAGGAGTCAGAAAACTGATTTCTTGGCTTCACAGAGATTTGTTGTACCTGTGAAGTAGCCTGGCAATCAGTGGAGAAGCTGCACAGAAGTTAGATAAACTGTTGTTTACTAGGAAATAGCAGCAGTAACTGGTAAAACCACACAACCTGTGTTTTTTACACTTCTGATACGCGTTAATAGATTAGCACACGCACACCAAGGCTACAAAAGTTTCCACTCCAGTTCTTGAATTAACACAGAGATGACATTTTATATTTTTTATAGTCAAAGCATTACTGGAGTAATGAAAAACACAACACCCTTAAATACCAAAAAGAGACCTGGACAGAGATAAAGAAAGAGACAGTTTTATACAAACTTGTCCACAAGGCCCTTCTGTTTGAGGATGTGGTAAACCTCAGCTGCAGTGGCAGGACCCTGGAGCTTCTGACCATTCAACATCTCTTTCTCCAGCTGCTCAATGCTCTGAGTGGTTGAGACAATCAGATAATACAAATTTATAAGAAAGTAGTCAGTCAAAGTAGGTTCCATATGCAAGATTTTGAAAGCATTTTACCCATTACTTTCATGCATGAGTAGGGATGTAACGGTATGAAAATTTAACCTCACGGTTATAGTGACCAAAATTATCGTGGTTTTCGGTATTATCACGGTATTTTTTGAAAGTGTGTTCAATATGTTCAGAAAGCACTGATAGGCCTACACAAGCTGAAATAGTTTCAAAAAGTGTAACAGTGTTTATTATATTACAAAACCTTATCAAAAGCATCAAAATGTAACATCAAAGGAACAATGGTTCAGCATGTAAACAGCTTATTTGTCAGGAATATTTCCAGTAGTGCAGGTTTAAATGATACAAATCCAAACATTCAAGCTAAGACATAAAGAACAATATGTAAACAAATCAAAGAAACACCACTAGTTATATACTTGTTTTCTTTATCATCAAAATTCAAATGTAAAACTGTTAGTAGCTTATTTGTCAGGAAAATGAACCATTGTGCAAGTGTATGTGAACACTTTAAACTAAAAATAAGACAAAAGTGCATTATGCATTTACAATAAATAGCCACTATAAACAAATTACAAAAATAACTACAAGCATATGTAATCAAATCCAAATGTTCAAGTGTTGATGACATTAAAATAAAAAAACTAAATATGTAAACAAATCAATGGAACAGAATGTCTTTTGCTATGCAATAGGAGATTGCTGCAGTTAGGTCTTGAGCTTTTTTGGATGCAGGTGCATAAGCAGACTGTCTTTGGAATGCTTGCTCAAGAGTCTGTGTCACTGATGAACCTGTAGTAGTACTTGGCTGCCCCACTGCAAGTCCTCTCTGTAAAAAAAAAAGAATAGCCATGTCATTATTATTAATTATTATTATTATCATTAGGCTACCATTCATATCAATATTCATACAATTTTGCCTTTAGCTGTTATTGTTGCGAAATCAAAAGAAAACGATTGGCTAGAAATTAATTATCTTACAGGGCAAATAATGTTTCGTGTTTTCAAAGACACGTGGTTCAGACCGTCACCGTGTGACTAAGTCAATTAAAGTTATCCAACTTCGCTAGAATTAAACGATTTACTGAACTTAGGACAAATATAAATTATGCATTCTTGTAGTAGGACACTGAAAAACCTAGACATGAAAAGGAAATCAAGAAATGCATGCAATGATATACTGTAGCCTACTACTGCTTGATAAACGCAACTCAAATGGGTATCCGTCTAGCTCTGAGGCTAAAAATGTGTCCTGATTTGCTCCACACACCACCACTGAACGAAAATGTGCATTTTAGGTAGATAATGCTGTAGGCATTTGTTTAGATTATTGACAAGTTATTAACAAGTTAGACAGGCGGATCATTGCATTCTCCTTCCATCCGAAGTCCCCACACCATGCATTTTAGCTAAAAAGTTAACGTTAACTTACCTTGCATTGGCTATAAAGTTGTGGGTGATGGTCACGGAGATGAGTCAGGAGATTTGACGTATTGCTGCCTTTAGCAGCAACTTTTTTCCAGCACGTTTTTCAGACAGGATAACTATCTTCAATCAACTGTCCCTCGGCATTCTTATAATAACCAAAATATGCCCATGCTTCAGAATTAGTCCTCTTAGAGGGCTGATAAATGTCCTGAGCGCTGTCATCTCCTCCTTCTGCCATGATTCCAAATTGCACGCACGTTGCATTCAGCGCAGTGAGCCTGCGCGGCAACTTCAGGAACCTCGGATGACGCTGGGAAGGATTAAACACACGGTTTCCACACCGTGGTAATCAACCGTGATAATAATGATATTTGAAATGAAAACGGTAATTGTTATCGTCAACATTTTTATTGTGGTTTACCATTACACCGGTCATCGTTACATCCCTATGCATGAGTCACTTTTTATTGCCAATAAGTGAACAGGTTTTAAAGCAACATAAAAAATTAGTGATTACTGATTTATCTGTTTTCTATGCATGGATATGGAAATGACATTTAGTTGCACACTCGATCGCCATCTCTCTCTGCTTTCCTACAGTGTCAACCGTGTGCAACACTAGCTAATGTTAGCTTATAAATTGAGTCCATTAACGTTTACAAATGACCGACACCCACCACAACACAGGGTCCAACAGAAAGTCCAAAATCAAAGCTAACATTAAAGCTGCAAGCAGCAATGAACGGGCTCTCGCACTCCACGCAACTCTGGGTGTGCTGCGGCCGCGTCATGTGCTGGCGTAACACGTGCGGACCACAACATAAAAATTTCACGTAAATCAGATCAAAATCGCCACGCATCGCTTACTTCCTATTGCCAGCAGGTAGCGCTATCACTATATCTGAATATTGCCATGTAGACGTGTTCAGAGCGGGACTCTTATCAAACTTTTAAACATAAATGTCTTTAGATTGCGCTCATTAAATTTGAAGTCGATCCGATAAATTCCCTAGGAGGAGTTCGTTCAAATATGTGTACAAATTGCCAAAAATGACCACGAAGTTCAAAATGGCCGACTTGCTGTTGGGTTTGGGTTATGGGTCCAAGAGGCTTTTATGCTTGTCCCATCATGGTACACATGCGTACCAATTTTCTGGGGGGCGTGGCTTAGCCATTTTGCGACGCCCAGCTATGCGACCAAAACAGTACGTTAGCGTTTGAGCCTCCTCAGGAAGTAAAGCCGGCTCAGGCCCTTTTTTAGTGGACCAGTCCAGTTTGTTGTCCAGTGTGACACCCAAGTACTTATACGCCGACACCATATCCACCGATGCTGACAGGAGAGGGCAGGGGCTTGTTCCTCCTGAATTCCACCACCATCTCCTTTGTCTTTGCCAAGTTCAGCTGTAGGTGGTTCTCCCCACACCACTTCAAAAAGCGATCAACCCGGTCCCTGTACTCAGCCTCCCCTCTGCCCTCCATACACCCCACAATAGCTGTGTCATCAGAGAATTTCTGAAGATGACATGACTCAGAGTGCAGTACTTAAAGTCTGCAGTGTAGGCAGTGAAGAGGAAAGGAGACAGTACAGTTCCCTGGGGGGCCCCGATGTTACTAATCAGACGGTCAGACACACAGTTATTTAATCTCACAAACTGCAGTCTGCCCGTCAGATTGTCATCGACCCATGTGATGAGGGGAGCACCCACGCAGTGTTCTCTCTTGGCCTTTAGCAGTCTGGGCTGGATGGTGTTGAAGGCGCTGGAGAAGTCTAAGAACATGATGCGGACTGAGGTGTTGGGTCTGTCCAGGGAGGAATAGGCCTTCTGCAACAGGTAGATGATTGCATCATCAACTCCCACATGGGGCTGATATGCGAACTGCAGGGGGTCTTGCGATGGGCACACTAATGGTCTGAGGTGTGCCAAGACCAGTCTCTCCATGACCATCATGATGTGAGAGGTCAGAGCTACCAGCCTGTAGTCCTCCAGTGTCACAGGACGTCCTTTTTTGGGCACTGGGACCAGGCAGGATGTTTTCCAGAGCACTGGCACTCTATGAAGGTGTAGACTCAGGATGAAGAGGTGCTGGAAAACTCCAGACCAGCTCTGGAGTTTTCCAGCACGAAAACATGCCTTCAGTACTCGAGGGCTGATGCAGTCCGGTCCAGCAGCTTTCCTCTTTTTGAGTCTCTCCAGCTCTCTCCTCACTTGGCTGATGAAGTCCAGGTGGGAGGTGGGGGGTGTCCTGGGGTTGTTGCTCAGAGGAGCAGTAGAGGGGCTGCCTATTGAAGGACTGGTTCAAGTCGTTGGCTCGTTGTTGATTCCCCTAAGCTGCACCCCCACCTCTCCCCTGAAAGCCGGTGATCTCTCTCATCCCACTCCACACGTCTCTGGTGGTGTTGTTCTCCAGTTTGTCCTCCAGTTTTCTCCTGTATGCGTCCTTACTCCCCCTGATGCTATGTTTGAGCTCTCTTTGTACACGCTTGAGTTCTGCTCGGTCCCCTGATCAAAAGACTCTCTTCTTCTCATTGAGAAGGGCCTTCAGGTTGCTGGTTGCCCACGGTTTGTTGTTTGGATAGCATCAGACCTCCTTGGAGAGGATGGAGTTGTCAAAGCAGAACCTAATGTACTCAGAGACACAGTCAGTAAGGCCATCAATGTCCTCCCCGTGTAGCTCATACAGAGCATCCCAGTCTGTGACCTCCAGCGCTCCACGCAGTGTTTCTATGGCCTCAGAAGACCATTTCCTCACTGTGACTGGTTCCTTCTGACACACAGGCTTGTATGATGGTGAGAGCCAGACTAGGTTGTGGTCTGACCTGCCAAGTGGTGGCTGTACGCATCTTTAACATTTGCGTACAGCAGGTCCAAGGTCTTATTGTCTCTGGTGGTGCATGTGACAAACTGGTGGAAGGTTGGGCGTGTGGATGAGAGAGAAACATGGTTGAAGTCGCCTGTGATTATGATGAAGGCCACGTTTCCATGAAACAGATAATAGTACACTCCCTGTACTCCCTCTATGTTCTGGTAAGGTCTTCCAGTTCGTCCACTTTATTTGCCAGCGACCTTACGTTTCCTGTGATGACTGCAGGGATGTAGGGTTTAAACCTCCTCCTCTTCATCCTCTTATCAAATGTGAAGTTTCGTTGAGATCGGATCATGTACGCAGAAGTTATGACACATCCCTCTTTCATGGCGAGTCGAATGTCTTTAGATGGCTGTGTCTAAATCTGAAGTCGATCTGATAAATTACCTAGGAGGAGTTTGTTCAAATACAATGTGTGCAAATCACCAGAAATGGCTGTTAAATCCAAAATGTCCGACTGCTCATAGTGGACCCCTAGAAAAAAACCTCCAAAAATGCGATTCATTTGTTACCAAAAAATTACTGCAAACCTTGTGAAATACACTGTGATACTGGTTTTAGCTGGCTAACATTAACTTGCTTACGGTTGATGATACCAACGCGGACAAATTGCTACCTGGTTACCATAGCAAAATATCAGCCTAAGCTGGGGTTGTACATCTGGCTGTGTCTTGGCTGTGGGGAGTGGGTCTGGCATTGGTTGCTCTGTGGTGTTGACTGTGTCACTGTGGACATTGTTTAACAGCAACAGCAGAGAAACAGCAAAAAGAGAATGGAGGTCCATTAGATCCACCAGTATGTCCCTTCACTGGTGACGGTGCACCTACCTTCCCCGTTTTAGAGAAGGCCTCTGCCACTCGTCGGTTTCGGCCACCATAGCATGTAGTGATGAGGTCAGCCACACCGCAGCTCTCTAGAAAGGTTGCCGTGGAGACAGAGCCGTTCTTAGAGAAGAGTTTAGCGAAGGCTATCATCTCCATCAGCCCCAGACGGATCACAGCCGCCTTGGTGTTGTCACCACACCGCATCCCATCACAGAAGCCTGCCCCCACTGCAACAATATTCTGATACGAACATGAAGACAAAGAGCACATGAATTCACATACAGTAAACCTGAATGCATCCATAACTTAACAATGCCTTGGGACAGTGGTTCACTAGTTCATCATTATCATATTCTGCAATTTACTTACAACTACATTGACCTTCATATACTCCGATGAAGGTCAGATAGACTGAAAGCTTTTAAATAAAGTGGTATACTGCAAGGACCTGAGAGTGCTGAAATCTTCACTTTCAGTTTGGACACACTTCAGGCACCTTAGCAAAGCTAAAAAAACTCCGCATTTTTATGGAAGGACTGGACATACCTATTGTGCAATGCAGTTAGGGTGTTGCCTTTATTAAAGTGTGACTGATACTTAATATGAGTAGATTTTTCCAGTTTTTTTCTTTGTAAAGTACCTAGACAGTAGTAGTAGTAGTCAGTGAAGGTCCCTGCTAGAAGCTGCACGATTCCTATACTATAGCTAGCTATACTAGCTCTGTGTGTGTATGTGAGTTTGGTTGTGTCACAGTGTGTGTACCTTCAGGGCGCCACACAGCTCCACTGTATCTGCATCATCTACCACTGTGATTCTGAAGTTCGGAGTCTGCAGTAGCTCTTTGAACAGCAGGCCGTTCTCCAGAATCTTACTACCTGCGCGCACACGCACACACACACAGTCTCACATCAGCTAAATGATGCAATACAAGTAAACTATTCACTGAACTTTAATTATGGGATGTTATATTTGACATTATTATTATTTTATTGTTAAAATAAATATTTTTGAGATGTTTACAGTCATTATGTACTGCGTTTCCCCCTCAGTTGGCTATGTACATGATGACAAATCTATGTACATACTGTATATTGAAGCATCTGGCATTCGTCACCTTTATGTACCCGGCCCTCAACTGTATGTTGTTGTTTTTTAAGCACTTTAAGCACAGTTCAGACCAAAACAGTTTTAGAATGCTGTAGGACAATTGCAGCGGCGTGAAATGGCCCATCTAAGCCCAACCCAAGCCAGCTAATGGCCTTGCCTGCGACTCAGCTCACCAGTGGCTGGCTTTAGAACATAAGACACATCACCGGTTTTAGCAGCCATAGCAATAGCTAGTTACTCAGTACCCAGTAGGGTAGCACGATATGACAAAAATAAATCATATTAAGATTGTTGTGACAGATATTATAATTGCATTATGGTTTGCGATTACTGAGAATAAGCATTTTTTTGCATCACAAGTTTAATTTTCACTGAAAGAAATGTAATGGTAGATTCAGTTTCTTTGTTTCAGCTAGTGCAGATGCCCAACCTCCCCCTTCCTAACACAAGATGCCAGGTCCTTTTGTGTTTTGTAGATTGTGATGTCTGGACTTGGCTTTGCTCCTGAATGCAAGATCCTGCAGGACACCTCATATGTAAAACACACCAGCAGGGGGTCGGCCCCGATGCCTGCAGTGGGCAGAGGGGTGGGAAAGCACTTCCTGGAGGGCCAGACCCCTACAACAGACAAAGGGGTGTGAAAGAGGTGGTCCTCAGGTATAAATGTTTAGATCTCCCCATGTTCGGGGTCTTTCTTCATCTTTGACCGCTCGTGTGTTGATTGACCTTTTCTTTGCAAAGAAAATAAACGTGTTGGCCGGCAGAAGTTCTCTATTTCTTTCTTCACCAGCAGCAGAGAAAATTCCACAACAGAAACTGTTAAAATCATGATGTGACATTTGTTGGGGTCTGTACCAAACAAACATGTTTTTTTACATCTAGCGAGTAAGATTTGCAGGCCAGGACATATCTGCTGCACTACAGTACTTCATTATAATGCTGTTTGTCACACATTTACCTTTATCAAATAACTGCAGCTTCTACGATGGACTATTGCGATTCAAAAAATATTTTGATTAATTGTGCAGCCCTACTACCAAATGCCTTCTCGCTGTCCTCATTTATTTTTTTATGCTACCAATCAGGCACTGGCCACCCCTGGAACCTGATTGGACACCCTGGGTGCCACCCCAGGTGATTGACAGGTCACTGCACATCACATCGACAACAGCGAGATTTTTAAACGCAAACAGAGAAGGAAGAATAAACAGATAACAATGAAGAGGAAGAGAGATATTTCCAACCTTTTTGCTAAATAAAAAACATATCAGGCACAGACAGACCCAGCTCAGATATCAGCAGTCCAGGCAGCTCCCAACATGAAACTACCCCGGCAAGTCATTCATTAATTCTCATACCGATGGCGTCTTTATGTGATCCTTGAGCCAAGTCTTGTGTCTAGTGTCCGTGATGTGCAGCCTTCTCTTTGTTTTGCCAAGACACCGACTTTTCCCACGGGTGTTTTTAATTTTCTGAATGAATGACCGTGCACTGGTTTAATCGCTGCGCCAGAAACTGAAAGTGAGACTTAGGTCCATTTCCTCCAGCCACTTTCCGTCCGTCATAAAGCTCTTCTGATTGAGTTTAACTTATGCCACTGTCGGCGCCAGGTTAGCTCAGTCGGTAGAGCTGGCGATCCATATAGGGAGTTGTTGCAGTGGCTCGGGTTCGAATCTGACCTGCAGCATCTCAGGATTTTCCTTTATTAGGCCTAGTATATGGCCCCCCAAAATAAAGCATTGACCACCCTCTGGCCAACCCTTGTATAAAAGTCTAGTTCCGCCACTGTTTGAAATCTAACATACATGGAACTCAAACAGAATGAGACTGTTCATTTAAAAATAGACAAAGACAAAATATTACCTGGCCTACTTTTTCTTTTCAATCTATATTCCTGAAATAGAAAATCAGCTTTTTGCAGCCCAGGTTGAAAAGTAATATCCAGGTACACAGTCAACCTCAACATGTCTAATATTACAACATGTCAACACTCTAGGTATGTAAAGTTGCAGTAGGTAACTTTTATAAAACAAATACATTTTGTTAAATTTTCTGATAATTTCACTATATAAAGACAGTAGTACATGATACAGACATTGCAAGACTCAAACAGACCTAAACAGAACAACTAAACAGAACAACCAATCAAAGCCAAGATAGTTGGTCGTCAAATACCGATGCTGGGAATGAGACTCAACAATCAATTATGTTCAAGCCTGCAACCCAACGCGTTGGTCTTTCTTTGCTCTGATTGGTTGTTTTCTTTTAGGTATAGTGGAATATTCCATTCCATTATTCTTATTAAAGTTACCTACTACAGCTTTAATAACCTATATTGTTCATGTAAACAAACTCAATTACAGGTAAAAGTCCTGCACTTAACATTTTACTGAAATAAAAGTAAAAATAAAAGGACTTATTTTGTGGACAGTGAGGCAACAAACGCACAATTATTATTATAGTTCAAAAGGGAAAGTTATGTCAGAAAACCTGGATATATTTCACTTGTAACTGCCTTGGTTTGGGTCCCAGCTTTCAAATAATAGTCAGGTTCGGTTTCCGGGGGGATGCGAACAGGCAGTGTTTTAAAGAAGAGTTTTTAAAGCTTGCAGCCTGTCTGCTGTATTTCTGTTTCTATTTTTCGCTACAATAAAAGTGCTTGCTCATGGTGGGAACTGTTATGAATTGGCACTACACAAATAAAACGCACAGTAAATATTTGATTCACTTTTGATCACCAATGTGTCTAGCTTGCAGTGATCGAATTTGAAGTCAATCTGATAAAATTGGTAAGAGGAGTTAGTTAAAGGGGGAGGGGGGGACTAGCTTGTTTTCCAGAGCCGTAATTCTGGTTGGCTCCGGTGTGTGTGTGTGTGTTACGGTGTGTAAATTAACTTGATCTACGTGCACTGGAGTTAACGATAGAGCTACTGTGAGAGAGAAATACTGCAGGGATTCATTAGTTTAGTAATACTGTGTAACTTCGATGCTCACTAGGCTGTTTTGTGGAGTCAAACCGCGACTAATAAAGGTTTCTGATCCGTTTATTTAGCGTTACTGCAGTACTGGTATTACTGAAGATATAAGTGCAGGTCCAGTGTAACATCTCCTACTCATATCATCTCCTATTGTATTATAAACAACAATGAGGCTCACTGCTAAATGCCTGTTTTTACACCGGAAACAACAACATCAGTTACAGTCACAGTAAATGTCCCGTGTGTGTGTGTGTGTGTGTGTGTGTGTGTGTGTGTGTGTGTGTGTGTGTGTATCTGCTGCCATTAGCTAGACATTTGTGTTGGTAACCTCAGACTGTTTTAAGGGACCCACCAGAGACACGGCTTTATTATTTTATTTTATAACTTAGGACTACTTTGAGCCACAATGAGCTGTTGTACTGTATTATATGCTGCCTTACAAGTAACACTGAATCTTCCTTGTCTTACAGGTGACCTGATGAAGCTCAGGTGTTCCTGGACCCATCAGAGGACAGAGACAGCTGCAGCATCAGGACAGTCTGGGTATCCAAAGGAAGACGCATCAAGATGAACACTGACTGCAGAGCTCCATTACCAGCTCACACTTCAATATACTAGAAACCATAAACCTTGATGGAGGACAAGATCTGCACAGTTTACATAAAAGTTATAGCTTTGTTACTTGCAACATGTGTAACTGGAATATGAATGAAACATGAATTAAGTGTTTTATTTTTAAGAAAAGTTTTTCATTTTTAAATTCAGTAATAAGTGTGGTTTTATATAAATAACATGTTATTTCACAGAGGTTTTATGAAGATTTACTGCATGTACAAGAGTTGAAAACCTGGTTTGTGTAACATCTATCAATATAAAAATGTGAACTTAAATGACATCATAATATATATATATAATATAAATGATACAATATTCAGTATATATACAGTATCTGAATGGGGTTAAAACATAATTGCAGCTTTAACAAATATCTGAAAGTTAACTTTGGTAATAATACTTTCAAGTTAAAATATCAGACTATGAAATATGGATACAATACAGTTTACAGTTGGTTACTTAGCTGTTTTAAAACCACATAAACAAGTTACTTTACTAGATGAGTATTTCCTTCAGTTATGTTGACATGTTGTACAGGATAAATGATTCCAGGCAGGTTTCTGCCTTATTATGGTAAGTTTCCATGGTCTCAGTAAACTAATGTGTACAAAGAATATAACAGATGGGAGGTTACAGTAATCATTATACTATTACTCTGATTACTTTGGTACATTTACTGGCTGTTTCTTCACTAGAAACAATTGCTTGACTAATGTTAATATTATGTAATATATAATATGTTTAACTTCACTGGGCTCTGTAGACTGTAGGTCACTGCTCACTGCTGTACCTGTAAAGACAAGCATAAAACACAGTGTTGGTTCTCATAATTAAGGTATAAACACTAACATAACATTATGTGATAGAGAGAGATTAATAATAATAATAATATATATGTATATATATATATATATATATATAGCAGTATTTACCTGAGGAACACGTCACAGAAAGTTGTAATCCTGATTGTTGTTCCTTTCTCTGTGATTTCAGGTCAGACTCCCGCTCTAACATGTCCGGTGGCGAAGTTTTTGGTTTAGAAGCAGTTATTGAATTAATATTTGCGGTAGAAATGCAGCTAAACTAGATAGACAGATAGATAGATAGATGGCGGAAATGGCATCAGAGTTTGACATTCGATTCATCCTAAACCAAATTTGAGGGCATGCCACAGACACGCCCTTCGACGTACAGTCACAAATAGTAAAAATTTTAATCAGCAATGTTTTTTGACTGTACTGACCTATTTTGAAGTAGATCCAATTAATTCCCTAGGAGTCCGTTCAAATGCAAGGCAGAAAATTCACCGAAAATGACCATGGAATTCAAAATGGCCGGCTTCCTGTTGTGTTTGGGTTATGGGTCCAAGAGGCTTTTTTGTACGTCCTAACTTGCTATATATGCCTGCCAATTTTCATTCATGTCCCCTAAACAGGACACCAGGTCTGGTTTTTTTAAAGTTTGTAGGGCTGCCATTTTGACACACCCACAGGCAACATCCATATGAAATGTAAAATGCTGCCATATGGGACGTGTGTGCCAAGTTTCATGAGGTGTTGAGCCTGTTTAGCCCCTGCAAAATGCAATCAAATGTTAATACAAAAGGGTGATGCTCGCCGTGTCGCTACGGCAACACGGTTCAATAAAAATTCATAAGATTCGTAAGATGTCATTGTCAAAATTTTAAGGGTCTTCTGACCAAACTTCAGCTATATGTGTTCAATCTGCTGGGAGAAATACATTAAAGTGTAATAAATTCCACCACTAGGTGGCACACTCACTATTAGTGAATATTATGACATAGATGAGTTCAGGGCGGGACTCTTATCAGACAAGTGAAGTCTAGAGACGAATGGACAATGTACACTCAAGTTATAGAAAACTTGTGTTTTGGAGCGGTATATAAAAATTTGACGCCACACCACAGACACACCCGCTCACCACACTCATCACATATCATCAACAATGTGTTTTGCATTTTATAAGTAAATTTCAGCTGGATCTGATAATCCTTCTAGGAGTAGAACATTAAAGTATAAAACGTGATACTTCCTGTTGCCACTAGGTGGCGCTCTCACTATTACTGAATATTATTACATAGACGTGTTCAGGGCGGGACTCTTATCAAACATATGAATTTGTGCTCGGGCCCAAATAATAAGAAACATAGCAAAAACAATAGGGACCTCCCAGCAGGTGGCTGGCTCGGTCCCTAATTACAATAGGATTTGTGCTCAGGCCCTATTATAAGACTATAAAGGAAAGTATATACACTATGCAATACTAAAGTAAGAATGGTGTGCAAATATTTTAGCAGCTTGATTAAAACTAAACTAAATGTAGAAATTAAATATAAATAGTTGTGCAAAAAGTTTGTGCGTCGTAGGTTGGAGTTTAAACAAGTCTTAGTCAGCGAGAGTTGGAGGTACTGGGTGCTGTGGCGTCGCGGAGTCTGATGGCAGATGGTACAAACAAGCCTCCAAGCCGCTTTGAGGCTTGGGGCTGGGTCAGTCTGTAGCTGAAAGTGCTCCTGAGCTGCCTGAGCTCAGTGTAGAGGATGAGAGGAGATCACCACCCACCTAGAGCCGAAGTATCTGTCCTAGGTTTCCGCCTCTTAAAAGGCAGTTTTTCCTTGCACCCGTTGCCAAGTGCTTGCTCATGGTGGTACTGTTGGGTCTCTGTAAATAATGTTATAAAGAGTTCAGTCTAGACCTGCTCTATTTGAAAAGTGTCCTGAGATAACTTCTGTTATGAATTGGCGCTATACAAATAAAATTGAATTGAATTGTCCATGAATTGAATTGTCCCATGCTCCCCTTGGCTGCACTGTCAGAAACTTCTGAGAGTTAACGTAATTATGACGTAACATCCCGCCTCCCACCGTCATCACGTTGATGACGTGCTGAGAGCGGGATTGCAAGCTCAACGTACACGTCCCAGATAAGATCACAACAATAGCATGTCTTCATAACCACCCTTGTTCGTCTTCATACAATATGTTGGGAAGTTGCAGTAAATATCAATACAATATGTTCTATATCCCTTTGTGTTGTGTCTCTCCTTCGTCTGTTAAGATAACTGAACATTTTGTGAGTCTCGAGGCATTGTCAGCCTTTATATCTCATTTGTAAATGCTTAATAAGCCATAGATAGTGCTCACTTTAGATGAGCTTGTGCAAAATACTTAATTAACGAGTATTAAGTGCTTTGTAACTGCCTCAATTCATGAATTCCTGCATTAACAACTGTTTATAGGCCATCATTAGAAAATGAATTTGTGAGTTTTTATAGAACATCTGCTAACACAGTCACTAATCATTAATACGTGTCTGAATAGTGGATGTGCAAGTGCATGCAGAAATGTACAGTACAATGAAGAGTAAAACATTTATAACTGTGATTATAAACCACATAGTAATGACTATTTACAGCAGAATCATGCTTTATAAATGATGAATTCAGTATTTACTAATCCATAACTAATGTGCTTATCAATGATGAATAAAACATTTTTAACTGTTTATAAACTACATACTAATGTGTATTCATGCGTTATAAATGATGAATTCAGTATTTATTCATGCTTAACTAATACTTAATAGTGTGTACTCATTATAAAGTGTTACCGATGACACTGGCCACTACAGACTGGTGGTTGAAGGACATGAGCCTCCTCAAAAGGAACAGCCTGCTCTGTCCTTTCCTGTAGAGGGTCTCAGTGTGGTCCGTAGGTGACAGTACAGTTCCTTGCTGAAAGCAACTGTGATGATGATGGTGGTGAAATATGTTTGTCGTGTTTAAGCAAGTTTCTGGACATTTAATATATACAGTGGATCTATGTCATTTTTGCTGGATTGGATTTAAATGGACAGCAGCTGGATGAAAACATCATTGGTAAGTTTTTTATATTCATTATTTGTGATGACAGACTGTCATAGATGCTGACAATCTGGCAAAAATACTGTCTGTTTCTGTTTGGTTATTGCTCTAATTGGTTATTGTAGTAATGGCAGTACACACAGCTTGCAGACGATTTGTTGTCATGTGTGGGTTGATTATGTGGCTTTATAATGTAGGTTATATGTGTGTTATATCTGTGTGGGCATCTAGCATCACTGAATTCTGCTGGTTTAGTCTATCTTTTTTTTTTTTTTTTACTTTTTTTTAATCCTTGATCTGATTATGGCTCTGAAATAGCCTATTTGAAGTGGTAATCCTCAAATATCAGCAGGTCGCTGTTTAATGGTAATGCATGGCACTGTCCATGTTGGTGAATTACATCGATCAGCCATAACATTCTGAGCACTGACAAGTGAAGTGAAAAACACTGATTATCTGGTTATCATGGCAGTGGGTGGGATATATCAGGCAGCAAGTGAACATTTTGTTTGTGTTAGAAACAAGGAAAATGGGCAAGCGTAAGGATTTGTATCATATTAATTTTTTAAACTGCACAGCCACATGTATCTTTCTTACCGATAGTGGTTTCACAGAACTTCTCAGCTGCCACTTCGTTGGCGATGTTTGCTCCCATGAGGACGCTGACGTCAATCCCCATCTTCTCTCGAATTATGTCAGAGATGAGCTTCAGGCCTTCGGGACCCTCATCTATCCCCTGACACACAGAGACAGAGGGATGTGAGGAACGTGTTACTGCCGGAAGAGGGTGAGAGATGGTAGATGTGTGAGGGACAAGTGGAGGGAAGCAGGCAGAGATAAAAGGAAAAACTGATGCTACTCAGTTGGCTGTATGTGCAGCAGGGAGAACATATCTAAATACTATGTGACTTTCATGCAGACTTCAGGGGACATAACATTTATAACCACAGGTATTTAAAACAGCATGATGATGAAGAAAACAGCATACAAAATGTCTCATCTTTCAAACTTTGATCTGATCTTCCCCAGACTCCCTCCTCTCCTGCTGCTGTTGTTGACTAACTGTGCCTCTGAAGCACAGACACAGTGACGCGCGAGGACGTGCTGAAATATTAAAAAGTTCCTTTCACACTTGAATGAAGAAAGTGAATTTAACAACTATGAAACATTTTTTGATGTCACAATGAGATAAAACCAATTTGAAAAATAAAGCTGCAAGCAGCAGTGATCAGGGTCCAAGCAGGTTGCAACAAAAAGGACTTGAAAACACACAAACTACGTACACTTAAATGAATCGCCACATTGGCCACCTGGGCATTCAAACCCTGGACCATAGAGCAGATACTTACTGACTGCACCTCTGAGTAGACACACCTTCCTACAAGTTAAGGCAATTCTGCGTAACAAACAATCTGGCACAGTCACGTTATGGGTGTATACATGTGGAATATATATGTATAAATAACTTTGTATGCTGTATTTGTTGTCTTGATATATTTTGCATGTTTGCTTTATTGATTTATTTTCTAATGTTATCCTATTCTAATATAAATGTAATTCTCTCTCTGTGCATGAAGCATTCATGAAGGGACTGTAACTGTAGTAGTTGTTGTGCAACCTTTTGTTAGAATGACCTTGAACCAGAATGGTCTTTTTTTTTTATTTAAAGTTGGAGACAACGTGCTTGTGAGAAGGAAAGTTGAGATGATGTTTTTATCTAGAAGGATTTGTTTCACTCAAAACTGCGAGTTGGTCAACAGCTGTGGCCTAGATTGCGCCCGGCTTTCTATTCCAAGCGAAATCAAGGGTAAGTACAGCCTTGGTGTCTCTCTCAGCCAAAGTCCTGCAGCACCTAAAGTGTGATATGATATAAATCCTCCTCTGCCATAATGGCCCAGCCCACAGTTTTTAACCAACTTTTTTACCTGGAGAGAGCTGGAGGATTTGTTTCCTCTAACATGTACACACCTACTAACAAGCTGGAGAAAGTGGGTGTGTGTGTGTGTGTGTGTGTGTGTGTGTGTGTGTGTGTGTGTGTGTGTGTGTGTGTGATTGGCTGAGTGCTGTCACAGCTTTCATCTTAATCATCTGGGCTGCAGTGAAAATGTAGATAACCGTCCAAACAAGCTTCAGGGTCGAGCAGACAGTTTGTTCAATTCGAGAGGAATTATATGTTCTATAAAAAGCCGATGGCAGCAGTTCTACAACCACCTCAGCCCTCTGACACCATAAAGCTGATTCTGATGGAAAGCTATGCATTAGTTCAACTGTCACATATAAAGAAGGCCACTCAATAATTAACATACCGCAAACCTTCTAATAGCCCGGGCGTTTATTTGCTTAAATCACTGAACTCAGTGACAGGCTTTTAATTCCTTTAGCACAAAACTCTTGCTCACCACAGATGGAAATACTCTCTAATTGTGCTGCTTCTCTCGAGTTTTGTTGGACAAATTTGACAACTAACAGTTTACGGTAAATTTCAGATTACACGTTTTTCTCTGTCACGCCATGACATTTAATGTGAATCTTGTTTTACAGCAGCCAGCGTACAGACTTTGAGAAACAGACTTCACATGAAAATACTCACAACTCAGATTAATGAAACCCTCAGATTAATGAAACCCTTGTTTACCATGCCGGTAAGGAAATGGTAAATGGACTGCACTTATATAGCACTTTTCTAGTCTTTCGACCACTCAATGCACTTGACACTACATGCCACTCTCACCCATCCACACACATTCATACACAGATGCCACACAAGGTGCCAACTGCTCATCATTACACTTGCAGCATCGGGAGCAATTTGGGCTTCAGTATCTTGCTCAAGGACACTTCGACATGCAGCCAGAGGAGCCAAGGATCAAACCGCCAACCTTCCGATTAGTGGACAACCCGCTCTAGCTCTAAGCCACAGCCGCCCAAGCTTTCAGCATCTAGTAGTCCCAGGCAGTCCCCCATCCAAGTACTAACCAGGCCTGAATCTGTTTAGCTTCCGAAATCAAATGAGATTGGGCGTGTTAAGGGTGGTATGGACATAAGTCAAGTGTCTCTTATCTTGCAACCATCTCCAAAATGTCTTTTTAACAAAGACGAGCCTAGCACATAGCACGGACGGGGTCTCAAGGTTGCAACTTCGACATACACACACCTAAGTTGCACACACAGTGACTTAATTAACTTAACGTAATTTTGGACTTCTGAACATTCTTGAAAGACTTGACATAGACTTAAGATAAGAAGTAGAAAGAAATCACTCCAAGTTGTTATTGAATGCCCAATAATGTTAGCAATATTTTCCTGTTATCCTGAGTAATATTAGTTGTTGAGCAACTATCAAACAAACAATATAGTCGCTGAGAGGCTAAGCAGGGGAAAAACTTTACCTGCCGGACGCGCTGGTTGTTCAATAAAAACATCTCTTGATTGCTGATTTATGCATATTTATTGTTGCTAAAAGACAAGAGGTAAGTGTTCCTACAGTCTATAAAAATATTTAGTCCGTTTATTTCCGAGATCATGCGGTCAGCAAAAGTACGACTCCCCCCCAATTTGATCACTTTAAACAGGCTATTGCAATGCAATATAAAAAACACACAATGAAAGCCTTCCTTTTAAAGTTATTAAGAGGTAAAGGGGTGACAATAATACAGTACATGCTTTGAATTCCTTAGATATAGTTATGCAGTTTTAAAAATTTGAGACTTGACTTGGACTGGTGACCAAAAACTTGAGAATTAACATGGACTTGCCCCTTAGAGACTTGAGAATTGACTGGGCTTGCAAAAAATTACTTGTGAGCAACTCTGACACATAGCGTATGTAAGTACAGACCAAGGCTATCTCTATCTCATTCTGCCACACAGGGACTGACACTGAGCTGGAATCTGTCTGCAAGCTGCACACTCAGATCACAACTCCAGCCTCATCTCACACATATTCAAACACAGTATCTCTGTTGTGAGTGGCAGTGGGGAGCTGCTGGCACTGTAAAATAGAGCAGCTGTATGAGTCAGACAGCCAGTGTGAGTCTGTGGAAGGGGTTTACATAATAAATTACCTTTATGAGTGTGATTCCCCGAGCTTTGGTGGGGACACAACCCACTATCTCGTCACAGAGATTCCGGATGAACTGGTGAGGGACCACAAACACCAGCAGGTCAGCTCCCTCTGCAGCATCACAGAGCTTTGGGACAGCTATCTGTGGAGAAAACAAAAGAGATGTCAAAATCTAAAGTAAGTATGCGTTGAACTTCATAGTGGGCACAGATTTGAATGTTAAAAGTCTTAAACATCCAGCTTAAAATGCCGCTACATTTGGTTAGAAAGTCAGTTCCATTTAACTCTTCACACATCAAACTTTAAATAACTATATTAAATGTAGTTAGAACCTACGTCTTGTTACCATTGTTGCCATATGGAGCCACCAACATAGTGTTACCCAGCACAGCTGCAGGTCACAGCAGAATGCTCTGGCATAATGGCTAAAAGTGGATCTTACCACATTCTCTGGTAGTTTGTATCTAGGCAGGTACTTGATGTTTTCATGTTCAGTGTTGATGATGTCAGTGAGCTTCCTGCCATTGATGTTCTCTTCAAACACCCACATCTTCACTGTGGTGGAAAAACGCTGCAGTGACATGGTATTATTCCCAATAATCCTGGCAATGGCTGACCCCCTGCAACCAACACAAAAGCCAGGAAGTCAGTAGGTTTAATCCCAAACTTACTCACACTGAACACTCACTGTACCAGAGAGGGACATTGTGATATTAGGTGAAAGCAACAGATGGTTAAGATTTGGGTGTTACTGCCTACACAGGATGGCATGGATGCTTGATGGTCTGCAAGAACTTCCTACTTCTCATCCAATTGATCTAGACGGGACCTTTCTGTGTGAAGTTCATGTCCTCCCTATGTCCAAAGACAGCAGTTAAGGTGAACTGGAGTCACTTAATTGCTTCTAATGGTGTGTTCCACTTACTTGGGAAGTCTGAAGTCAGAGCTGGGTGCGACATCAAACCTGAGTTGACCGTGTTGCGGTACAACAAGTCAGAACACCAAACTCTAGGAAGTTAGCAATACCAGTTAATAATATTGCATTACGCTGCATTTTTCATATACAAACATGTCCGAAGACAGAAGTTGGACAGTACTGTGTGTACGACCGATTAAAGGAGAAACAAAAGACAGAAGTGCTAGTAAACAGAATATTACTACAACTTAGTTGATGCAAGAGCAGCCATCTTGGATCTTGTTATCAAGAGGTGTATCAAGGGTGTGCAACCCACCAGAGAACAATACAACGTTCTATCAGGATTGGTAGAGAATGTTACATGCGGCCGTCACTTCAGATTTCCAGAGATCGCTTCTTCCTGAAACGTCCTGAAAATGTGCTTTGAACTGTTAACAATTGCTGGTATGAAACGCAAAGTAAAACTCTTGAAACTTTGATTATACCCATGTATCCTTACTGATAAGCGCCACTATAATCAGAGTTCCAACTGTAAACCCCAGAACGACAGCTTCTGTACACTCCGCTGAGTTGAAGCACCTTTCTTTGCTAGTCTGTTGCTACCCATTGTGAGGAGAGAAAACACGGTGGGAGTTCAGATACTTTCCATAAAAAACAATCAGAGTTGTTGTCTCATGTTTTCAACACACTTTGGTGCATACTGTATCATTATTTTTTAATTCTAAAAAAGCTGCTAGTGCTAATGGCTAGCTAAGCGCTAGCTAAATGTTAGCCTTGATGAATGTGGTATCACTGTACAAATGCTCTTAAAATAGTGCAAATGCTAATCGCTAGAAAATTGCTAGCTTTGGTTAATGTGTTTAATTTTATTATGTTCCTAAAGGAGTGCTAATGGCTAAGCCAATTGCTAGACTGCTCATAGAAGAGTAAAATAACAGTGCATTGCACTTATTTTGTGTTAATATTAAAATCATTCAGCTTTAAATTGGTTATACATTTTAATGATTTGTAACCCGACTACACTGTGCTTGAGCTAGTTTTAAAATAAAATTTCATGTTTAAAGTAAATTATGCTGAACCTTGAACTCTGAACTCAATATCAGACTCCTAAAAGTACTATTTCTTTCTTCTTTTTACAACTGAGAAAGCTCTTTTATTTTATATTTTTATTTTATTCATTCCATGTAAATTGCTGTTGATATTGTTGTTGGCCATACCCCAAACCCAACAGGAAGTCGACCATTTTGGATTTAGCTGCCATTTTTGGTGATTTGCACATGTTGTATTTGAACCAACTCCTCCAAGGGAATTGACTTCAGATTTGGACACAACCATCTAAAGACATTCACGATTAAAAGTTGTGCTATTTACGACATTCCGTCGAACGACGTGGAACACTTATATAGCATTGGCTATATTTGAGTTATGATGGTGTTCAGCAAGAGGTATAGAGGGCCTTGATTCCATCTGTGTTGCTGAGAAAGTTCCAGGAGAGTTTTGCACCATGTTATGTCATCTGCTGGATTACTCTTAGAATCAACATATCTGAGAGTCTGAATCTCAGCAATTCTTGTGCCAACAAACACCCTGTAGCGACAGGAGTCAGATGTTAGCCATAACAGGACTGCTGTGAAATCTGTCCAAAGGGTCACTGACTGTAGTGGAATTCTGAGTACAGAACTGAGAAGGTTAGCCAGCTGGGCACCATATAGGGCTGCACATAGGCGGCATAATTCAACTTTAGATGTTTCTGTTATTTATTCTCTCCTTATGGATATAAATGAGGTGGACAAAATAATAGAAACACCAGCTATCAGTATAGCGCAATACAGTTCAAGAGAACCACAAACTGCAACCTTAAAAATGTCCTTTAATCAACTCAGTCTCAGTTTCGACAAAAACTGAAGATTAAAACATTTACGAAGGGGGGGATTTATTCCAGGACAATTAGACTGCATTAGTTTTAGCTAGGTGGACCTGACAAACGGGCAACTAAGTAATGTATGTTGGCTGTTAAGCCCTTGATGGAAATTAAGAGAGAAGTTGACGCTATGACAGCGACTGAATATTGGCACTGAGATGCATTTAGGCAAGGGCTCTTAACAAACTTGTGAAGTTTGGGTCCATGTGGAGAATCTGTACTGCAGTTAGGGTTAGCAGTAGGGGTAGGGTTAGAGTTTCCATTGTCATGTCAAGGCTGATTTTTGAAGGCACGCCACAGACACACCATTTGACTGAATGTAAAGATTGTAATACCCTAACATCCTGAACGTCTCTGGACTGTACTCACCAATTTTAAAGACAATTCATTGGGATTTTTTTTTGTTTTGACTGCACGCCAGAGACTTCAACATACATTCACAAATAGCACAACTTTTAATCAGCAATGTATTTTGACGGTACTGACCGATTTTGAAGTAGATCCGATAAATACCATAGGAGGAATTTGTTCAAATACAACGCGAATTAATACTGCAAGCAGTGATGAGCGGGCGCTTGCACTTGGCGCACATTGAGGTGTGCTGCGGCCGTGTCACAAGCCGGTTTAGCGTGTGTGGACCACAATGACGCACATTGGGGTGGGCTGCGGCTGTGTCACAAGCCGGCTAAACGTGTGCAGACCACAACATGAAAGAGTTCGGTCTAGACCTGCTCTATTTGAAAAGTGTCCTGAGATAACTTCTGTTATGAATTGGCGCTATACAAATAAAATTTAAATTGAATTGAAAATTTCACGTAAATAAACGCATGTGTTTATTTACAACACACACACGCACACACACACACCTTTTCCCTCTAACTTACTTCCTTTAAGTTAGATTGCATGTAGTGTATTTTCCTCTGTTTGCTTTTATTATCCCTTTTTAATAAATACTTGTGTTTTTACATGCTGGCCTATTTAATTTCGTACAAGAGTGGGTGATACCAGCCTCTTCTATGCAAATACGCGGCCTCACCCAATACGATGTCGCTTCGAAAAAAAAATCTCCGTAAACACGGCATCGTTTCCAGAAATATCTCCACACGGATTCACTGAAACGACCCAAAACGCTGTAGTACATATGCCAGGCCTGTATGTGGCGCTGTGACACCGCCACACCAATACACTAAAACCGGAAGAGTAGCCATGGAGCATGCGCTGTTTACAAACAAGTAGTAGTAGTCCGCCATTGTTGTTGTTGTTGTTGTTATGACGCATCTAGCGGCGGCGGCAGCTGAGGTTAAAGGCTAGAGAGGCGGGGCTTATACCTCATCGTTTCGGAAAAAATCTGTTTCGTCGTCCTGACGACTCTGGGCAATCTGGCGTTTTCGGATTTTCCCACTCTGGGACCCCTTTCCAAAAAATTCAGTTTTCACACCCCGAAAACGCCGTATCCGTCTGGACGCGAGGCCGATACGACAAAGTATTTATCCGGATTCGAGGAAACCGTATTCGCAAGGACAGGCCCTGTGTCTGTTCCTCGACCACCTAAATTATTTTAAGAAATAAAAACAAGAGAAATTAAATAAATAAAAACCTAATAAAAATTAAAACTAACTCCTCAGTAGCACAAAAGATTTTAATATTCATGTCGATGTTGATAATGACAGCCTTAGTAATGCATTTATTCACGTTTCTAATACATTTTCCCCACTCAGTGATACACCCACTGAGGAACCAACTCTGGTTATTGGCAGCTCCATAGTCAGAAACGTGAAGTTAGCGAAGCCAGCGGCCATAGTTAAATGTATCCCTGGGGCCAGAGCGGGCGACATTGAATCAAATTTAAAACTGCTGGCTAAAGGTAAACGTAAATACAGTAAGATTGTTATCCACGTCGGCGGTAACGACACCCGTTTACGCCAATCGGAGGTCACTAAGATTAATGTGGAGTCGGTGTGTAACTATGCTAAGACAATGTCGGACACCGTAGTTTTCTCTGGACCCCTGCCCAATGTGACCAGTGATGACATGTATAGCCGCATGTCGTCATTCCACCACTGGCTGTCGAGGTGGTGTCCAGCAAACGATGTGGGCTTCATTGATAACTGGAAGCCTTTTTGGGGAAAACCTGGTCTGATTAGGAGAGACGGCATCCATCCCACTTTGGATGGAGCGGCTCTCTTATCTAGAAATATGGCGAAGTTTATTTCTAAAACCTGACAGTCCAGAGTTAGGACCAGGAAGCAGAGCTGCTGTCTTACACACTTCTCTGCGCTTTCTTTAGAACAGTCACCCACCCAAAACCCCATAGAGACTGTGTCTGTCCCCCCGACCACCTAAACTATTTAAAGAAATAAAAACAAGAGGAGTTCAACATAAAAATCTAATAAAAATTAAAACTAACTCCTCAGTAGCACAAAATAAGAGAATGAAATGTGGGCTGTTAAATATCAGGTCTCTGTCCTCTAAAGCTGTTTTAGTGAACGAATTAATATCAGATTATGATATTGATTTACTTTGTCTTACTGAGACCTGGTTGTCCCACGAGGAGTATGTTAGCCTAAATGAATCCACCCCCCCAGTCATATTAATACTCACATTCCTCGAGGCACTGGCCGAGGAGGTGGAGTGGCAGCCATATATGATTCAAGCGTTTTAATGGACCCTAAACCTAAACTAAATTATAATTCATTTGAAAGCCTTGTTCTTAGTCTTTCTCACCCAAACTGGAAAACACTGCAGCCAGTTCTATTTGTTATAGTGTACCGCGCTCCTGGACC